GGGAGTCCTACCCATACCTATATTTTCTAGGTAAGTTGGTTAAAGAAAGATTCAAGCTTATAACTCCCACCCCAACCCGGTGGGAATCAGAATAGGTGCCCACCCTAGGCTCAATAGATTAAATAAAAGTATGCGAAATGCAGGCAAGGTTCTTAGGGTGGGTGGGAACCTCTTCTTATTCCCACCTAAAATGATCAAATCATAGCGTGGGAATGGATTGAGAAGATGGATATAGCTCACTACCCAGCTCAAGATGAAGTGGTTTGGACTGCAACGGCTAATGGCAAATTCACATTGGCTTCAGCATGGAATGAAATCCGTAGGCGCAGCTCCAAGGTCAGTTGGTCGAAATTTCTCTGGTAGAATTCCGAAATTTGCATTTTCTGCTTGGTTGGCTTTACATGGACGGTTTTTAACCATCGACCAATTACAAAGAAGAGGCTTGCAATTGGTGAACCAGTGTGTCTTGTGTTGGTCTGCCATGGAATCAATAGACCACTTGTTTTTCAATTGTGCTTATACAGCTTGGATCTGGAGATCATTGCTGGGAAGAGCGGGTTGTAGAAGACGTCCAAGAAGGAATTTACAGCAGGAAGTGGAAATCTTGATGACCTGTTTTGGACAACATGATCTACTTGGGGCGACAATGCGTATAGCCTTTTCAGCATCAAGATGGCATGTGTGGACAGAACGAAACAACAGGATCTTTCGTGGGACCTGTTCGCATAAAAAGCAAGTGCTAAGACGCATTGTACAAGACGTAGTAAGCAAAGCAGCTCGATCCCGATGGAAGCCGAGAGATGGAAACCAGCGTGACCTGCTATTCGAGAAATGGGGTATCCAGGCCGAGGTTCCAATTGAACAAGGAAGAAGCGTGAAGTGGTCTATTCCGGAGTCAGGTACATGGAAGGCCAATGCTGATGCAGCCTTGAAGGATGAGAAGGGTGGACTTGGGGCGCTAATCAGAGATGAAAATGGAGCTATGTGCGTGGGCAAAACAGGTAGAGGTAGCACCCATCTTTGTTCTTGAACTCAGAGCGATCAAGGAAAGAGTGGAGATGGCATTACAAAAAGGGTGGAGTCGACTAGAGATCGAGACGGACTCGTTGTTGGCCAAGCAATGCCTCTTGCATGAAGTAAAAAGACCATGGGCAAGCCTCCATTTTGTGAGAAGCATTTGGGAACTGATGGAGAGATTGGAAAAATGGAGGATTATGCATACGTTGAGAGAAGCGAATAGTCCAGCTGATTACCTTTCCAAGTTAGGG